GATCTTTGAAGAAGGAGCAAGTCGGCAGCCGATTTTGGCAAGTGATGTAGATGCCCCCTTTTTTAGTATATAAGCCTGGCGAGAAAAACCAGCGTGAGGGAAGAGATAGATAATTGAGTCAAGCCAACAGTAGTCACCGTAAGTAAAAGTGTGTGAATCACTGTGATTTATAGCATGTGTTATAAAAGTTGTTAAGTTTAATAAGACGAGAAACGTATTGACTGTGGTAATTCTGTGTCTTACAAAGTTGTATCGAGGAAGAATAAACTGGGTTAATCAAGAAAGGATTTCTATCGCTGCAGTTTCTCGGAAAGAATTTCTACCGGAAATTAACAAACAAGCAGATACTTAACAATATTTCTGTTTCTTGATTTAGGTATAAATATAATGGACTGATATACAAACTACACTTAAATCACGTTTCCATTATTTATACGATGAATATCGAGTTTCCTGACCGACAGAACTGCTAAAGTTTAAATCAATTACTCAATTTCTAGGCCTTTCTTATTAGAAGCTGCACATCATATTTATTAACGACACACCATTCCCCGCCTTAACGTACACACTAGCGTCTTAGTATGCATTGTATACTGTATATTTGTAATTAAGCACAAAGCTACACGACAGGCTATCTGTGCTCTGCCCACCACTGGTATCGAAACCTGGATTCTAGCATTGTAAGTGATCAGACATTCCGCTGTGCCACTGGGGGGGGGGGGGCTTAGTATGCTGACGACATTGCAATTTGGAGTTCTTCTAGTAATCCACGTGTCGCAGCATACAGAGTACAAAGACCACTGAACTTGGTATCTCGTTGGTGCCAGAAGTGGCGAGTAGTCTTAAACCCTGCTAAAACTCACTTAACTAACTCAGTTCATTGCCTATCTCAGGAAAATCAACAAACAGATGAAAAAAACAACTTAAACTGTATAATACTACAATTTTCTTTTCAGTGTTTTTTCTTTTATTACGATTATTTTTAGTTAATTTGTACTTTATTAGAATTGATTTATGATATTTTTTTTAGGTATGTATCTTATATTTTGATATATGATCTATATATTTGAATTTATATTTTCAATTTGTAATATGTTTGATTTTGAAACTGGCCGTTTACTAATGACTTTTTCTAGTTTTCTTCTTAAGATCAATGTATTTTATGGTTTAATCTTAAGTTGTAGATCTTACTTTCTATTTTGTATTGTAATTTTGGTATGATGTATTTTGTGATTCAATTTTATTTTTGTGCTGTGTATTGTGATTTTGATGTTGAATTTAATATGTGTTTTTTTTTGTACTACTTAAATTCTATCTTGTTTTGTTGTTAACTGGCTGCTGGAGTTTTATGTGTTAACCCTTCTTGTGTTTGTATATATGTCGTGGCGCCCTGGATGTCACATGAGGAAAACTATTACAACATTTTGCGACTTGTAATTAATGTTTAGCTGCAACACAGCGACTCATAGAATGTCTCTGAGTTTTTCAAGTACAAACTTTTCGCTCATAGCTCCGTCATATGTTGACCGATTTGAGATCTAATTACAGTTTTGGACTCAGGAGGTCAAACCCTTTCGATTGATGTATTTGACCACGCCCAGGGTTTCATAGATTAATTTACCCTAATCCTGCCTAAAAGAATTTAAATTTGGGGGTTAGGCTCGTAAGAGATCGTGATGAATAGTGAAATCTAATCGGGTACACGCGCGCCCCACGCCTGGTATTTCTGGCGCACAAAAATATAGCTAATGAAAAGAGAAAAAAATCCCACATATTAATTTACTCTAATTCTGCCTAAAAGAATTTCAAGTGCTGCGGCTATTGAGGATCCCCCTCTTGTCTGATTCAGCCTAATGTTTACTTTAAAGTTCGAAACGATAAACGGCTCTAAGATAGGGAAGGGTGGTTGTGATTCTAGGATGTCAGGTAAACTGAAGTAATCATGAATTTCATCCTTTCATGACAAATATAGAATATGTCTTTATTCATGTATATTCGTGTAGTATTTTTCTAGATTTCTGTACTATTTCTACTTGCGCTTATTAGAGATCGCGTCGTTCGTTTGTTTATTGCTAATCATAAAGTTACCCAATGGGCTATCTGTGCTGTGCCTATTACAAGTATCGAAATCCGGATCTTCAGATTTATCGTTAAGTCATTGGGGGATGTCGAAATCAAAACCGAGACCTGACCAGAAACGTCAAGACTGAGACCAATCTTTAAAAAAAAAGCACGATCCTATCAGACTTGTATTGTATAGTCAATGTTTTACTTGCCAGACTAATTGTCCGCAAATACCCAATTAAAGCCTTTCATGTTGGTATTCAAACACAGCTGTTTGTTGTTTCTACTACCACTGATATTGTTGTCCTGATATTAATGGAAGTATGTTCTTCACTTTGACCAATCTGTCTTACAACAGAGCTTCTTTCATTTGGTTTTTCGTCAAGAAGATTATTATATCCACTTCTACAAAAAACAGCATATCAATGATGCTATCCCTTTAAGGCGGATTTCACTTCTTCGAATCCTGGATGATCATCTTTGAACTAATAAAATACCATAGTTTGGATACGTAACACCAGCCATGAGAGAAATCATGTTGCCAAAAGACTGATTGTTGTCACACACAAAATCAATGTGTGAAGTTACTCTCAACTTCGCAGATAATGATTTTGAGACCAAAACTAAGACTTGAGCAGTTGAGACCAAGGTCTAAACCTCGTTATTTGATCTCGAGGTCGGACTCGCAATACCTTTTCCGGAGTTTACATCTTCAGTTATTAAAACGCAAAAACAACAACAAAACAAAATAAAAACACAAAAGAACAAGAACTTCTATTGTTTGATATGAGTTGGACTAAAGACTTGAATTCTTTATCAACAAAAGCGTTTTTACCTGAATTTCAATTTCTTTAATACTGTTGAGTATCTGCTCGTTTGTTAATTTCCGGTATAAATGCCTTCCGAGGAACTTCAGCGATACAAGTCCTTTCTTAATTAAAACTAGTTCATTCTTTCTCGATACAACTTTATAATACACTGAATTTCTACTGAATTTCACGTGTTACCAGAGTCACGTGACTTCCGCTGTCGTAACAATACCTGATGATGACAAAACCTTGTCGAAACGTTGTACATTTGCTGTTATGTTAAACTTATATTAAAGTTTTTCTTCATTACCCATTCAAGCCGTCTTCAGCCATTATTAACAATACATTTGTTTTTAAAGTAGGGCG